GGGAAAAAAACACATCAGGGTTCCCACCCAGTTAGAGCGTGTGTGTGTATGTACGTATGTGTATGTGTGTGCGTGTGTGTGTGTGTGAGTATGTATGTACGTATGTGTATGTGTGTGTGTGTGTGTGTGTGTGTATGTATGTATGTATGTATGTGTATGTGTGTGTGTGTGTGTACGTGGTGAAACACCAAACCAATGTGCCAGGATTTGGACAATAAAGAATATGTATCCTATCTTATCTTAAAAAAACACCAAGATGAGCATGAGCAGAACTTGTACCTGATTCTGTCCATGAAATGCTGGAAGTTGTCCACTGTGGTGATGTTATAGTTGTACACTTCAAACTCCACGTCAGGGTTGATCTCCCTGGAAGTACAGCAAAGTTTCCGTTTTAGTAAGAGTTTTACGGCACTTGCAACACAATATGGTCATATAAGTGCTGAAGATCAGAAGCGTTACAAGAGAGTAACAAACACAAAAAAGAAGGAGTTTTTTTTTTTTTTCTCGTAAGAGTTGTACGGTACTTGCAACACAATAAGGTCATATTAAGTGCCGAAGATTAGAGGTGTTACAAGAGAGCAACAAACACAAAAAAGGAGGAGAGATCAGGACGATAGATGTTTGGTAGGAAAGAAGGAGCAAACCACACCACAGCACCTGCCAACCACCAACAAACACTTTTCTGGCACATACAAAACTTCGTGCTAGTGCTAGTTAACATTTAACTATGGTAAAGGACACAACTACAGCAGCCTTATGGGTTTTGTTCTTAATTAATATTATTCCCAATCCGTCTTGAAAGCTCCTAATTTTCCTTTACATTGGCAAGTCCATGAGGGAAGCAATGCTTGAAAACTGAGAATACCTATCTTCCAACACGAAAAGGACTTCAGTACACAAACCCTCAAAATCTTATTAAATATGTTATTTAACATACTGTTTTTGGGACACCTGAATAGACATAAAGGTCTTGCGCATCTAGTGCTCGCGCTCACTGGCAAGTTCTTCACTTTCATAATTTTTATGATAATATAATAATAATGATAGATAATATTTGTATAGCTCAAATCCCCGCTCAACAGCAGGCTCTATGCGCTTCACAATCTATACTATTACCCCAGTAGACCTCGGAGCATTCTGAAACAACCCCAACTTCCTGGGAAGTATACAGTGCAAGCAGCCATTTATAGGCGCTAAACACTAACATACTGAAAAGATCTTTCGCTGATGAGCGTCTGATTTCGCCACGCTGCCTCACATATTTATTTATTCCACCAAATGTATAACTCGTTATCTCTGGTCAGCTGTGCTGGTGAGCCGCTGGCAGTGGCTGGGGCACATTTCTTTACGACGACTTCTACGTCAAATTACTATAAGGCAATTAATAAAAACAGGTATCTTTTTCCGGAGTTCATTTTTTAGATAATGAATTATCGAAATAGGTTCACTTTTAAAAAATTTAATGACAACTTAGTATTGTATGTCAGGTATACGAAACCATTGTTAAGGAGGTACTTGAAAGAAAGATGTGGGGCAGGAGAGCCAGAGGAAGGCAAAGAATAACATGGATGGACAACATAGGATCATGGACTGGAAAAGGCAGAATGTGCAACAGCAGCTCGTGACCGTGAAAGATGGAAGGTCATTATACTTCAACCTCTGAGTCAGAGATGACACCTCCAGGTATCCAGGTACGTCAATTTTAGATTTTATACCAAAACAGGGCCCCGGAAAAGTGGGTTTACCTCCCTCTGAGAAAAAGAGTTAATCCTGCATTTGACGCACAGAAGGGTACAAACAGCCCTCGTGTCCACCTGATTAACTCTTTCTGGACGTATTGCAGATATATCGGTGAGAGTCCACACCCCTGCGGACGTATCGCTGAGATAATTATCGGCTATGATCGGGTGCCTCAGTTTCGTTTTGTTTTAACCTGATCCGTCATTTAAAAATACTTAATATTGTTATCAAAAACTTGGGAAAGATTTAGGAAACGAAAACATCTACTTTCACTTTCTGAAAGCATCGGTTCGGCGAAAAATGAGTGAATTAATTCTTGAGGTCTTGCGTCCACAAAACAATGTAACCGGACACAGTAGAAACATCATAACTCAAACAAAAATTGGAATATTGCCTTCAAATAAAAAGCTGTGCATTCAGAAACTCATGGATTATGCTCTTAGCCTGTATAAGACAAGATAGCTATGCTGATTTACTTTCACATGTTTGATGAGTGTAATTTTTATCATAAAAATTTATATTTTTGATCACCACCATCCATTCTAACCTTTGTAATGCATGCTTACATTCAAAATTATTCCTTATTTCGTGTTTGAATGTATTCCTCATTCAGTTTCCTTCTATTTGATGTATCATGTTACCTTTTGGGCAATGGCTATGCTTATAGAAGTTATTTTGTACATCACCTGCGCAGCCAAATCAAGCCACAGGTTAATTACGTCTAGACCCCCCAAAAACTACGTCCGGGAAGAGTTAAATACTCAGTTCATCTATGGAACTTAAAACAATGGTTGAAAGAGCATTTGAATACCAAGGCCCCAATATCTGGAATGCTTTACCAAGTACTTTGAGAGAGATCAAAACCTTTGATTTATTCAAATGTCAGCTGAAGTCGTTTTTGTTTTTAAATTAATAAGAGGAATATTTGGAATAATTTTCTTTAGTCAGAACACAACGTTTTATGTTACTGTTGTATGTTGTACTGTATTGTAAAGCACTCAGAGCCTGTGTACTTTATTCGGGGTTAAGCGCTATATAAATGTCATTTATTATTAATATTATTATTATTCTTATTCTCACTTGAGAGTCCTCTCCGCTGCCTCCACTTTGCTGAGCCCGGCCTGGTGCGGCTGGTAGAAGAGACGGTTCATGTTGGCCAGCTCCACCTTGTCGTAGTCAAACAGCAGCAACTGAAAACACATTGGACGGAGTGGGGGGATTGGTTGGGTTTTACTTGCAACACAATAAGGTCATATAAGAGTCGAAGATTAGAGGTGTTACAAGAGAGTAACAAAAACAAAAAAAGAAGGAGGGGAGACTTTTTAGTTTTTTAGTTTTAGTAGAGGTTTTATGGCGCTCGCAACTGCATAAGGTCCTATGAGCGCCAGAAGATTAGAGGTGTTACAAGAGAGTAACAAACATAAAAATGAAGAAGGGGAGATAAGGACGATAGATGTTTGATAGGAAAGAAGGAGCAAACCACACCAGAGCACCTGCCAACCACCCACTTGGTTGGATTTGGTTTGGTATGATTCATTTCGGCCCCATCTAGTTTGGTTCTGGTTTTTTGTTTTTTTTTCTAGTTTAAGAGTCCATCCATTTAGTTCAGTAAGACTTTTAGTGCACTTGCAACACAATTAACACTTTGCGGTCACTTGGCGCAATAATGCGACAGTGAAAATTATCCGTTCTGGTCACCTGGCGCAGTAGCTCTGCGTCAGGCACGAGAAGTCCACTGCAGTCGCTCTCCTGGCTGGGGGACTAGACGGGGTATTTTGCACTGCTGGCTGTGTGACTGCAAAGTGTTAAGTTTAGGTTCAGTTTAGTTTAGTAAAAGTTTTACGGCACTTGCAACACAATTAAGTTATATAACAGAAGTACCAAACATTAGAGGTGTTAATAAAGAGTGACAGAAAAGACATTAACAAAAGGAGGAGAGATAAGAACGACCAATGTTTGATAGGAAAGAGGGAAAAAAACACATCAGGGTTCCCACCCAGTTAGAGTCGAGTTGTTATTTCAATTTTGTACAGCACAAATGTTTTGACTAACATAAAATATGTTTTTAGTTTTAGTAGAGGTTTTACTGCGCTCACAACACAATAAGGTCATATAAGTGCCGAAGATTAGAGGTGTTACAAGAGAGTAACAAACACAAAAAAGGAGGGGTGATATAAGGACGATAGATGTTTGATAGGAAAGAAGGAGCAAACCACACCAGAGCACCCGCCAACCACCCACATAAAATATCTGTATAATTGAAACTGAATAACAAACTGATAATAGAACAAAATCAGGAGAAAAAAAAAATGTTCACTAGATTATCAGTTTAAGAAATATACTGAAAAAAGGATACTTATTTCACCTTTTAAATTGGACCAAGAGACATGAGTGTAAGTGCTTTTGGATAGATAATAATAGATAGCATTTGTATAGCGCAAATCCCTGCTCAACAGCAAGCTCTATGCACTTCACAATCTATACTATTATCCCCCCAGGAGACCTGAAAGCATTCTGAAACAACCTCAACTTCCTGGGAAGCATACAGTGCAAGCAGCCATTTATAGGCATTAAAACACTAACATACTGACAAAAAGTTGACAAAACTTCACCTTTCCAATACCGCATCTGGTCAACATCTCTGCCGTGACACTCCCCACTCCACCCACACCCACAACTGCCACGGTGTAGTCACGGATTTTCTGAAAGAAAACAACAAGTACCATAATATGTGGCCTAAATAAGGGTCACCCAATAAAGAAATGAGGAACGTTCTTGTGCATTCTATAAATTCTCGCTTAATGCCCTTGAAACTGGAATATTCAGAGCGATAATTTTATTATAAAACCATCTATTTTATATTTTTTAGCCAATTTTGTCATTTTTAGTTGATAAAAATACCTTACAAAACCTTTATTTATAAAAAAGTAAATGTATTTTATGGGCGAAAAACCACATCACCAGCCATCGTATATATTTATACGATAAAGTACTGCATGAACTGTTGGGAGTTAAAGGCACAAAAAAATGTAAATTTTCTGTTTCCAAGGACTCTCAGGATATGGGAGTTACCCAAGTTTGGCAGCCATTTTCTCAGTAATTTTTATTTTTGAATCCAGGTGACTCTGACTTCCTTCAATCGCAATTAGTATCTCTACTTCTATTCGAGATAGATGGGTACTTTTTTCACCAAAAGGAAAGCAATATTGACGAGCGCCTGATTCTACAACATCCCCACACATATGATCTTCCCACAACAAAATATAACAGCCCCAATGAAGATATTCCAAACAAAATGAAAACTGTTTCAAACTTCTTTAAAAAAAATTATCTTTCAACAAAAGATACAATGTCCCCTTTTGGATTCTTCATTTCTCAAGAAAAGCAGCTGAGACAGTCAAGTTTCACTAAATATATAACGTATACATATACATACTTCATAATTATCCACAATGCCCATCCTTTTCAGCGCCATCAGACGACTGGAACAAAAAAAAAAAAAAAAGAAAAAAAAAATCAGCAAAATTTTGAAAAACAAACTTTAATTACGTAACTAAATACCTCACATGCTTTCTTCAAATATCTGCATCTGTCTGACATAGCAGTGCTAAACATGCTGCTGGTGAATATAAGCATTTCTCACTAGACTAGCATATATGGGGGACGTGCTGACAAAATTAGTTACTCCTCGCAATCCACAAATGGAGATATTGGTCAAATATCGACACTACGATCAAATTTATAGATTTTCTGTTGATGCCATATTCTTTAAGTATAAGATGCCCTTTATCATTTCATACTTATGAATTGTACAAACTTCACCTAAAGCATGATGTGTCCATTTCCAAAGGGCTCGAATCCGAGAGAAGTAACTCATTTTTTCAGCAAGCTTCACACACTATTATGAAGCCAAGAAAGGTGTTGGATTTTTTTGGGGGGTTCTCTCGCAGATTTGCACATTAAAAAAGTGATGGACACCAAAGGCTAAACGACAATTAGAATCATATGTCTAGCCTTAACGGCTTCTTTAACACGATGTTTAAAAGAGTGCAGTTCTTTCAATAAAACCACAGGATCAGAAACATTCACAACCATGAGGAAAAAAAGCAAATCTTTCAAAGCTAATCCTCCCGCCCTTCAGATACTTTAAAAGTAAAACACAAAAAAGCAAACTCAAACCTAAGCATACATGTAATAGAAGGGAAAAGTACAAAATAAGTGGATGCAAACTTCAAAATATTTTTGTAATAAATAGGCTATAGGTCCTTACTGTAACAACAGGCAAGTTTGATGGAAAAAAAGGCAGAGGCAGACAGAGCGAAAAGATACTGGACAAGTTGACAACATGGCCGGGAACAACAAGAACAACAGACACCATCGCTGCACCGCAAGACAGAGTGAAGTGGAGGTCCATGATCGCACATGCCAGTCGAGTCGGCAAGGCACCGGATGATGATGACTGCTCAGGAGAAAAACTCAAGATTCCAAAGTCAGAAAGATAAAAGCAAAGATTTTGTGCTTACCTGTATGGATTGGAGTCCACCACCTCAGAACTCATCTGCTCAATGCGTTCTCTCTTGACTGAACCTTTCATTTCTTCTATTTTCCTCCGTTCATTTTCCAGCTGTTCCCTCAAGTTTTTGATTGTCTGCTGCAGCTCCCCCACCGAAGCCATCTTGTGTTTGTTCTGGGTTTTTAAAAAACAAATTCATGACAATGAGGCGTGACGTCAAAACAAAACAAAATGCTGCCAAAATAATGTCATCATCAAAACATTCAACAAAACAAATTATCTGACAGAAAGAGATGCATTCAAGCAATTTCTTTTCGCCCAATGTTGAACCATCTCTATAAATTCACTGGACTCACTGTGAGGGGATGAGCCATGAGTACCAGTCATTTTGTCGCACGGTCATTTAGTCACACCGGAGCAGTCAAAACGTCACAATTATGTGTGACGAAATGACCGGTTTCCTAAATCATTAGCAGAATATCACATGTCACATGACATGTAGTAGGCTTGCATGGCTTTTAACCCTAGCAACAAAACAGGTTTCCATGGTCCATGCCTACTTTACTTCTCTATATAGAGAGAGATATATATATTACCATTTCATTAACTTTTGTTCTACACTTACTTGCTCCATCATTCCATCCCTGCTCCAGGGCAAACCAAGACTCACTAAATGATCCACTACTCAGAGTCAGAGTACTCTCCAGGAGTGTCTTTTATGGCGCCCTTGGCATGCTGAGATGTGTAGCTGAGTGGACTTCAGTAAAAACCAAAAGAAAAGATGTTCAGTCTAGTGACCTCTTGTCCATGATGATCATAAATCCAGTCGATCCAGATTCGATATTATATAGATCTAGGTCCAGATATTCTAGATCTAGATAATATTATATCGAGAATAGAACATTTAGCAAGCTATAGATCTACTACACATAGTCTCTGTTATATATAGTCCGTCAGGTTGTCCTCAAACACAAATTATGATCTCTCAACCATCAACCCCTCGTGAACCTTCATTATTTAATATAGCTTGCGGATGGGATCGGGTTGGGTCGTATCGGGTCGGGGGCGATCGCCCCACTCGTAGCTTGAAAACAAACAAACTTTCAGGTGACTGAGTCGGGCGATCTGCCCAACCCTCTGATCCCATCTCTAATGGGCACCCCGTAAGTAAAATGCAAACCGAATGCCCTACTCACGGCCTTGATTAATTAATAACAAACGGAAACGCGTTGGCGTTGGTTTTTATGGTAACACTAACAGTCTATATGATTTATGTTGTTAAGGGTTCGTCTGCACCTCTGTTATTCGTGTGGCCTCTAGATCTAGATCTAGATCTAGTAGGCCTAGATCTATATAGACCTAGAATCTAGAATCTATGTTGTTCCGTGTAGGGCCTAAGCCTGCCTAAAGTATTCACAGACAGGTACCTGTACTTGTGTGACTGTGTGTGTGTGTCAAGCGTGACTTTGTATTGTGTGCCGCATGGTGAAAATACACAGGTTCCTTTTGGACAGGGCTTACAACTAGATCTATACAACACAATGGAGTGGGTAATCACAATAAAATCAAATCAAATTGAACAGTAAGGAGCATTGTTGGCTCGGTTTGGGGTGTTGTCACCAGTCGACTGAGTTTCATCAGTTGTCAAACGAATCAGAAAGTGAGACATATGTCTGTGAAATTTACTTCGTAACATAGGACAAAATCAAGCGACATTGATAAGACATAAAAATTTTGTTGTAATAAAGAGTGGGAATATAAGAAATACAAAGAAAATACGCCGTACCTATCGTACTTAGAAGAATTATCTCTTGATCTTGGTCTGCTCAGAACACGACACGATTTCACCGGTGCTGTTTTCTTTCAGCATACGGTGACGACACAGAAGAAAGCAAGAGGAAATAAACGTGAGAATCATTTTGGAACTGCGTTGACTAGAAGACTACAACTTACACTTTTTTGACTGTGTACATAGATCATTATTTTCAATTGTGCCTATAACATATCGGCTCGTTGGTCTAGGGGTATGATTCTCGCTTTGGGTGCGAGAGGTCCCGGGTTCAAATCCCGGACGAGCCCAATTTTTTTTCTCCTTTCATCTCTAAAGTATCTCACAATAAAATTTTTTTATAGTCTCTCTTCTTGACTCGTACGTTGAGCTTTGCTTGTAGTTTATTTGTTTTTTGTTTTTGTTTTTTATTCTTCTCATTTCCCCCAAATAACTACTAAATTTATACGTACCGTACTGTAATAAGTCAGCTGTTACAAGTATAATGTGATCGGGCAATAGATAGGCCTATGGATGCAGAAATAAAATACCTCATGACCTCATGGGTTTCGTTCGTTTTTTTCTAAATACAGCCGACCCTGTATTAAACGGCCACCCATTGTCAAGAAGAAAGTGGCCGTATAACACAGGTGGCCGTCTAAGGCAGGACTGATCAAAATGATGAAGAAAGCAAACCATTCTTTTCTGTGGTCCAAAATCGGGACTGATCTCGGAATTTTGATTGCCGTGAGTGGTTTTTTAAATTGTTTTCTTTTGAAAAAGCGGGGTGGGTGGTGTAAGAAAGGTTTTTCGTTTTAGTAGTTTTTTGGAAGGTTTTTAACGCGCTCGCAACTGATAAGGCCATGAGGCATGAGCGAGGGTTTATCTTTGTTAAATTGTTATTTTGTTGGTTTATGACGGATCACACACTTCTCTCACCAACAGTTGAAAATGTATTGTTCCCATTCGTCAACCTGTGTAAAAAGCGCATTCATCGGAGGTACAAACAATAACGACAGGTGAATAGATAATGAAGCCCGTCCACAGCGTCAAGGGCCAATTAAAAAATTATGAGAAAGTGGCGGGTAATGAGTGACCACGCCTGGCCGTCTGAGGCAGGTAAATTTGACCCGTGCGTTCATAAAAATAAGGGGGCCGCTGCCGCGTTGTTGGACAGGTGACCGTTTTACACAATTAAATTATAGAAGAAAAAAAAACGCTAAAAGGGGTGGGGGTGGGGTAGAAAATGGCCGTTTATACAGGTGGTCGTATTATACAGGTGGCCGTCATGACAGGTTCAACTGTACGTTTCTCTGGGTCTGCCCCTGCCTTGTATCATCTTCCAGTGCCAGATCTGCGACAGACGTCGGCGATCATGGTTCTCCATTCATTCCTTTGCTCGGATACTCTTAAAAAATCTAGATCTACGTTCCCCTGATCTTTCCCTGTTACCCATTTGTTTAGGTTCCCTAAGTATGTTGTTCTGGGCCTACCCCTGCCTCGTTTGCCTTCAATTTTGCCACTGAGAGCTAAAAGTTCAAGACCCTTAATTATGTCTATTCAGGTGTCCTAAAAACTGGATTTGTCACTTCCTGATATTTTTTAACAGTGAGCGTCCCACGGGGCTTCATCAAGCACTACCTCATTTGATTTCTTTTCCTTCCACGATACTCTTAGCAGTCTCCTAAGAAACCACATTTCTGTTGCTTCTATTATTTTCACTGCCTTGTATATCTTCTGTTTTTACCCGCAATTTTTAAAAATGTTTTTTTTGCAATTATAAGATGTTTAAAGCCCATAATTATGCCGAGTCAGGTGTCCCAGAAATGTAGATAAAAAAACTGTTAATTCGATACTAGTTTTCCTTGTCAAGATCTGCTGTTTTCAAAAGAGGCTTCGCTGTGGGTTCTCTGATTGGTGGTAGGGCCCAAATGGTTGGGTGAGGATGGGGGGCAAGGAGATTACTTATGGGGGGGGGGGGTATCTTGAACCAATGTAATATTCCACTTTTGTGAGGTGAAAAAATACAGAAAAAAGGGAGGCCTTGGTCAAGAAAGGCTGCATGGTGTGCAGAGGTCACAAGGAATGTGGGAAATATTGTCCAAGTATTGCAGCATTGAAGAGGCACAGGGCTTTACACAGGAAGAAATGGAGGTGGAGGAAGAAGAGGAGGAAGAGGAGACAGAGAAGGAAGTTGGAACAGGACCC